TTATTTATGAGAATGTCATTCAATGCTAATTTATTTTCTTATCGCAATTGTTTTGCAAATATTCACTCGACTGGAAGAGGATCGAGCCGTTATTTTGGAGGCTCTGTGTTAACCTTCGAAACGCATCGTCCAAATCTGGGTTAGTGGACCAAACTTAAGGAGCATCTCTGGATAATGCACGAGGAAATGAAACTTGGGTTTGAGTGCAGACTGTGTGAGTTTAATATACAATTCATTCAGTCCCGCAACCCAAAATTGCAATTGTTGTGAAGATTCATTACTAACTCTAGGGTTCACCAGTCTATCCAAAATCCTCCTCAAATATATATACAAATCCCATACTTCACAGTCATTAGGAACATAGTAACCTACTAAAATACCAAAATATCTGACTAAAGTCATCATCTCGGCAGCTGACGTTTTCAATTTCGAAGTGCTACCATCAACAATAAGACAATTCGTGGGCTTAGAACCTGAGTCTGGGCCATAATTGAAACTAGCTATTTTGCTCTGCATGATGTTCAACGGCACGAGCTTAGATTCTTGCACGAGAAATTGTACAACATAAGACATAACATATCGACAAGCACCTTCTGAAAAATCATGGAGTAGATCAACGGAGACATGTTCAAAAAGTTGAAAACCATCTAATGAATTGAGAAAAACACACCGTTCCTTGATGCCAGTTTCTGAATAGTTTCCTAAAAATACATCCCTTTCGTAGCTTTCTGGTGATCTTAATAATAATAATAATAATAATAATAATGTCTTTATTCAATAAAGAAAAGGCGGAATTCAGTCACCTCTTTCCAAGGAGAAAGGCAACTGCTCTTCCATTCAACCTGGGAAAACGGCAACATATAGGTTTACAAGTCAGAGTGAACTAAAATATGATTCAATTTCTGTGGGACATCTAAATATCGTACTACAACATAGGTAGCACATTTCGAGGTAGCATGAAAGTGAGAAAATCATATACATTAATTAATTATACATCTACATTAGAAGATAAAATAAAAATCATACAATTAAAAAAAAAAAAAAAAAGTTCTGACCTATAAGATAATGAAACAAAATACAGCTAATAGATACTAATAGAATAAAGTACATATTATGAATCGGTTTATTAGGATAAGGTCCAAATGACTTGCGGGATGATATCGAAGGAGGAAATCGAAGGGCAGATAGATCTATTGATATGGTTCAATAGGTGATTACTACTTGGTGAGAAGACGACTCAACTACCTATATAGAAAAGTGAATTTACCTTCTGAAATGTATTTTCTCAGTTCTGATTTGAAAAGACGCAAATTCATGGTCCTCAGTGATACAGGAAGAGCATTATATATTTTTGTGATCGTGAAGGAGAAAGATCGTTCATAAAGGGCAGTATTATGCATCGGTGGAGTAAGAAGGAAACGCGATCTGGTGTTGATGGAGTGAACCATTTGCCTGAAAACAATTTCATCAAACAAATATGAGGGAGTTTTGCTGAGAATTACTCCATGATAAAAATAGCTGGTCTGCAGAAGCCATCTTTGATGCATGGATAGCCAATTACTGTCGGTGATTTTCTGTGAAATGGGACTGCGCCTCCTTACACCATAAATTAATCTTGCGCATGCATTTTGGACTTGCTGAATACGATTTTGATCTTTTTTTGTCAAACAGGGGTAATAAACAAGGCTTGCATAATTGAAATTACTTAATACTAGCGCGTCACATGAAGTTCTCTTAGTTCTCGTGTCTACAAACTTGGATACGTTATAAATTAATTTGAGATTACAGTATGCACTTTTGATACAGTTAGAGACATGTTGACTGAATCTCAATTCGCTATCCATGATGAGGCCCAGATTCCTTGCTGAATCAACAATTTCTAAACGTTGAGAGTTTATTGATATTTCTAAGTGCTCCTTGCACTGATTTCTATACTTTTTGTTGCCGAATATCAAAAGTTGTGATTTAGTAGGGTTAATTGTCAAGCAATGGTCTTTAGAGACTTCATTCAGAGTATCTAGATCTGTATTGATAACCATGCTAGCAGTATGGAGATTCGCGTGGTCGAAAGTATGATATATCTGGGTGTCATCCGCATAATAATGGGAGTGACAATTCCTCAAGAACGAAGGAAAATTGGAAGTGTACAAAGTGAACAGAAGTGGTCCCAGTATGGAACCTTGCGGTACACCACTGGTAATAATCAAGGTTTCTGATAATATATCATCGATCTTAACTGCTTGTGATCGATTTGAAAGATAATTTTTCATCATCTCACAGGCACTATTAGTGAACCCTATATAATGTAAAATCGCTAATAGCAACCGGTGATTGATACGATCAAACGCTTTAGAATAGTCCAACAGTACAAGTATTGATAATTTGTTCTCATCAATGGCAGTGAATAGGTCATCAGTTACCTTCAAAAGTGCTGAAGAGCAACTATAGTTTGGCCTAAACCCTGATTGATTTGAAGGTAGAATATTGAAGCTATTAAGATAGTCTCTAATTTGTACGTTCATGACTTTTTCAAGTAACTTTGACATAACAGGCAATACACTAATAGGCCGCAGATCTTTCAGTTCCCTTGGACTTTTCACCTTAGGAAATGGTAGCACGTGTGCTACTTTCCACTTGTCGGGAAAATATGATTGCTCAATACATGCATTTATAATGAGGGTCAAATAAATGAATATATATGGGCAACAGAATAGTAACATTTTCAGATTTATATCATCAGCTCCTTTGGCATTAGACTTTATAGTGAGAAATTGTTCTTTTACTGTTACGATGCTTACTGTTTTGAAATAAAATGTGCCTGAGCCGGGCCTAATGTTGTTATCATAGAAATGGAATGCATTTTCACTGGGCAGATTATTCTGTTGAGAAGCACTCACAAAATATTCATTAATTTCATCTCTATCAGATAGCTCAGGAGGTGAGGTGAAATTATTTTTTTTCTGCTTAAAGTTTAGGTTATTCAAGGTTTTCCACATGGTTTTGGAATTATTATTAACGCGAACGGCATTTTGAAAATAAGCTTTTTTTTCGTTATCAATGGATGAGTTACAGAAGTTCCTCATCTGCTTAAATGCAGCCCAATTAGCTTCGCTTCTGTTCCTCTTGAATTTAGCCAACGCTCTATCTTTCAGATTGATAATTTCTTTTAAATTGGGTGAAAGCCAGGGAGCGTGTTTTTTTGTTATTCGTGCTGATATGATAGGTGCATGTCTATCAAAAAGATCTAATATCAAGCCACTGAAAATTGAAACCTTTTCGTTGATATCATTCTGATAAAAAATTTGATGAAAATCAGTATTCTCAAGATCTTCCTGGAATGAGTCTTCATCAATATTCTCAAAATTTCTATACGAGTGAAATAATGGTTCAGACCTGTATACCTTAAGATCTATGGAGCAACTAACAAAAGAATGGTCCGAAAGATTGAGTAGGTCGAACACCTTACATTCTTTTACATCTAGGTGCTCAGAGCAGATAAACAAATCCAAGAGCGAGGTACTGTTTAGCCCGACTCTTGTTGGTTCATTAACGACTTGGTTCAATCCGAAGCTGTTTAAGATTGTGCAAAAAGATTTGAAACTGTTTGTTGAGGGATTTAAAAAATCAATATTAAAATCTCCCGCGCAAAAAATATTATCATACTTGAGAACTAATTCACTCAGAACAGCTTCTAATGAGTTGAGGAATTCTTGAACTTGCAGATGAGGAGGTCTGTATTAATTACCATAGCAATTGGTTGTATCATTCAATGTAAATGATAACCATAGCTCCTCAACACCATTACTTACATTATTATTATTATCTTAATAAAACTTTGTCCTCGTATAACATATATTTAGTTTCTTCTCTATGTGCTGAACATATCCGGCAGAAATGATTCGCTACAAAACTCTCTACAAAACCAAGAATTCCATTTAAACCAAGGTTGTCTCCTGTGATACAAGCAACGTGAAACTTGATGGTACCCGTATAGGCATCTGTTGTAACATTTATGCCATTGTTGCGCAAATTATTCAACACTTCAATAACTTTTTGAAACACCATATTGTTTCCAAAATCGACTCTGTCTGATGCATGAAAGAGTGCAATAATGAAAATATTATCGAGCTGAGAAACATAATGACCTGGGAGAAATGGAAGCGATAAATATACTCCACCCAATTTATGTACTGTCGCATGACTACCCAGAGGGTTCCCGACTTCGAAATCGTCATAAAATAATATCAAAGGCAGATTCAAGTGATCTCCATCTCCTTCCTTGGCCATGATGTCTCGCCATACTCTGCCCTGCATGATATTTTCAATATCGCCAGTTGAATGCTTGAGGTAATCTAAGTGTTCTAAAATATCCTTCAAGATACCAGGCATTGAAAAAAAGTTTTGGAATACTTCTGCGATCGGTATAACCTGCATTGTGCAAGGTGCAGGTACTAGATTGAACCCTAACAATGTGCGTCTAGGTTCCATGCGCTGCCCTACAGTCACCTCAAGAGGAGGAATATATGTTCCCATTTTTTCGAATAGTTGAAAACGCTTGTATTCGGTTAACAAATGGAAGCCACTTTTAGCATAATCGGTGAGAACTCTTTCAAAGGTCAACTTAATATCGTTTGGCAAATCGATACCCTGAACATCAAGAGACTGGTACACACTATTGAGAATTTGATTCTTAGACTTCGCCATTAACTCAGATAGCTCAACAGATACATGTTGCGCTAATCTACGAGAAACACCTGGTTGACTATAAAGAGAGGACAAAAATGCTGCTATATGTGATTCGAGTACATTTTTAGGTAAACTTGTGGGTACCTCTTCCTGAACGGCATAAGTAGAAGCTTCGCATGATGAGGATGGCAAATGTTCCACATGACTTCCCACTATAGAAGAAACTGGTCTGACTTCATGACATTTGTCTAAGTGTTTGCGTAAGGAAGAAAAAGTTGAAAAATGCCTTGAACAAGAATCTTGACCACAATGTAATTCTCTAGTACCAGCCAAAGATGCACACTGCGATCTCATATGTTTCACTAATCTATAGGACAACTGAAATAATCGGTGACAGCCATAGCATTTAAACATTATTCAAAAGGTTGTCCCAAGTCTGTCAACAAATGTTTGATGGATTGAGACAGCCTATCGTACTTTGTTCTTATCTTATAGAAAGCGACTTGGATCAAAAGCCACAAGTCGGTTGCCTCTTCTGGATAACAAGCTCCAGTTGCATGAAAAATTTTGAAAGCCCTGTCAACCGCCCCTATTGCGGAAGTAGAATTATAAATTTTGTCATCTACTATGACATGAAATCTGTTTGCCTCTTCCAAGGTTTGACCAACAATGACAATCAAAGGTTGAAAAGATCGGCCTAACCCTTTGTATTTATTTTTTCGAGCCTCCGAAGTCGTCAGTATGTCTGCCTCAGTCGGAACTTGGGTTATGAAAGCATCCCTTACCTCGGATCGTGAGGGTTTCCAAATTTGTTTCCCCTGCTTCTTGATTGCAGGTGGTACACTCAATAGATAAGGCAGCAGGAGAAGTATCGCTATGCCACTATTGTTCTTCCCAGGTTCTATAAAATTGAAAATCATTGAGATTATTATTTGTGAAGTTCTGCCCGATATCATTTGGGTGGCAGAATTATTTCACGGAATAGTCAAGTTTTCAAACGCAGTGACATTTTGGGACAAATCATCTGTTTAATAATAATTACACTCATATCTTCATTTATGAAAACGATGAAAAAATATCTCAGAAAATTCAGAAAAATGATTGTTGAATCAACAGAATCTATTTCACGTCATCTAAGAATTTTGTTGAATAAAATAAAGTTCTGTTCTGTTTTGAATAAGTCTCTGACTCAGTTGGAATTAATATACAGGGTGCATCTGAATTACACCAAGAAAAATTGAAGGATGATTCTGTGATGAAAATTAAGGTGAGTATTTGGTATACAATTTTTTGAAAAACCTCTCATCGGAAAAGTTACACTCTTCTGAAAATCAAATGAAAATTGTTTATCTTTTTTATTTCCCCTGTATATTAAGCTGAAGACTCGAAACTTGGTAAATATTATTTGTCAACAATGCAATGTTCTCAAACAAGTATGTTCAGAAGGTCTTAACTTTTTTTGGATAAAAATTTTTCTGTCAAAAAAACATGGCAAATGCTCAAGTTTTCGGAAAATCTTTTAGAGATAAAAGAGTTAGTGAATCAATTGGGCTTTTTCGCCACGTTTTTTTTTAAGAAAAATTGTTATCCAAATGAAGTTGGAAGAAAAAATCTCAGGGATTGAATATTATAACCCCTTGTAAGCATACCCAGGGTTGAAAACATTTCAAAATGTGTAGTTTTATAAACAAATGATATTCACCAAGATTCGTGTCTCCAGCTTGATATACAGGAAACTTTTTTTTTCAAATCTCCGGTGGGGTGTTTCCTTTGCGAGGAGAGGTTTATCAAAAAATGTTATACCAAATACCCACCTTCAATTTCATCACAGAATCACCCCTTAATTTTTCTCGATGTTATTTAAATACTTATATATATATGTATAATTTGATTTCCGTATACATAACATAATAGATTTCAGTATTTCATATCTCATGAAGGATGAATGTATTCCATACTTGATATTCATATATTTTAACTGGGTGTTTCGTATATCGTGAAGTTTTCACCATGCAGTGAAAATTGAATTTCGCCACGGGAATATATAGGTGCAACCTCTTGCGCGCTTTTCCGAATAAGATAAAAATAAAAATAACACAAACGAATCATGAATTTCGATCTATGAAATTAACTCACCCTCAGAGTCCGCCAATAAGTAGATATCTAACTGCCTTTTATATTCTGGATCTCTCGAACTGCGCTTACAGCTAGATTGACCAAACTTTCTTTCAAATGGATCACGTTACTGAATAAGTGATTCTCGGTGTCAGGATATAAAATTGTAAAATCTTCCAGTAGCTGTAACAGGATATTTCAGTTATATTTCATAAATCATGTCATTGAATGAATCATTCCAGAAAAAACATTCTTACCAATTTATAACCCTGATGTTGCTTGAGTACTGGGTATCTCTTAAAGTACTCAGCAATACTCTCTCTCTCTCTCTATTTCAATTTGTTTAAGTCGAAAAGCAGCTGTCTCCTTCCAGTATAGTTCGACCAGGGCCCACGGCTCAACACTGTTGGCTAGCCACTTCAAATGTTCGTCGAGTATAGAATTCTCTAAAAGACATAATAATATGAATGAAGCTCTCGAAAAATCCTACAGCTCTTTTTTTATGAGTGTTACAAAATAGATGAGCAAGAGGCATATACCTTCTGGTTCCGGACCACTCGATGTTGATGGTCTAGGAGAATCTTGCCTCAAGGATGTAGATGAGCTACTCCTTGATCTTCCTCGAGGAAGTACACCTAATTCTCTTAGTTTCCTGCGTCGCGAAATATACGCTTCATATAATACGCCGCTGGCGTTTTTCTTCTTCTGATATTTAGACGCAGCTAGATATGAAGCGCAGTAAAGAGAGGCAGACTCCTTAGAGAATATGGAAACTATTTGAAGGGCGATTCGGGTGAAAGTCACGCTCTGTATTTTGTAAGCTGGATCATTGGCCAGCATTTGCCTGATTGAAAGCCTAGATAGTTCTTTTCTCTGCGCTTTTTTGAGTATATTATTTTGTTTGCCTGCAGCTAGTATTGCCCGGCCGTCAACAGAAGCATTTAGAACAGTTTTGACCTGCGAAATTTTGGAAAACTAGAATCTCATTGATATACATTTTTATTACATTTTCGAGCCCGTATGACCCTTGGCATTTTCTTGCGCAATATTATGTAATACAGAGTAATCCATTCAAGAAGACCACAATATGCGAAAGTTGATGGAAGCAGAAGTTTCTACTTGAAAATGTCCAATTTGACACGAAACAAAAAAATCCGTAGGGCCATATACAGGCTTTACGGAGTTTGAGATGAATAATATTTATGTTGGTGACAAAAAGAACTAACCATAATGTTGATATCATCTGATTAAAAAAAAAGTTGATACTCACTCAGCAGCAAATTTATTTCATTAAATAATCAGAAAATATACTTATTATTGAACTTACGAAATCTGGCTGCAGCGAAACGCCGATATCTGTACCACAGGATGGAGTTGTCAAATTTTCCGCAACTTGCGTTAATGACTGAATATCACCTTGATTTATAAAACCGTCAGGGCCTGTTATTAGATCATCGGCAATATCTAGTACTATAGGTATACCACCAATATCAGGGTTTTCACTCTTAAAAAACATTTCTGTTTGATTTTATTATAACTTGACAATTCTGAATAAATAGATTATCATGCACTACCAAATAAAGGGAAGATTTGTACGGAGATCTTGGGAATTATAGTAGAAACGAAGGTGTCAATACTGTCAATGGATATTTGAAAAAAATGATATTCGCCTATTCTCCAAAACGCATCTAGATCGATCCGTAATTGATTCAAGAAGAAAATGTCAGCTATTGTATTCATATTTTTCATAAATGTATTCAGTTATGGAATATCGGATCCTTATTTTTAAAATAGGAATTCTCAATACAATTCTATTGACAAAATTTTGTGGAAATCTAATCGTTTGTTGAGTTTTCTTTGCCAATTCAATTTGAAAAAAACACTAATCTTCACCCATTTTGACCCACATACATATATGAAGGTTAGTTTGTTCAGAAAATTAGTCTCCTTTCTCACTGATTTATTTGATCTACCTGTCCTTTTATGATTAAAATTGATAGGTTCGCTGCTGAATCCCAAGTTTATCGAGATATGAACTCTAGTCCATATTATTCCAATTAGATCTATGATTCCAACTTTCTTCCAGAACTAATCTGTTTGAACTAAGTGCATTCTAAGTATCCAAATGAAAATATATAAGAAGGTGGTAATATATTTTTTTAATATAATTACACGTTACAGTATCTACTAGGAGCGTTTTGGAATAGGTAAGAATCAGTTTTTCGTATAATATCAATTGATAGCTGTGAAATTTTGGAGAAAAACCAAAATTCATCAGTTTTGAGGTGAGCTCACGTAGAAGTTCAATTATCTGTCTATACTGCGTGTCTTTTTTCAAACGACCCCCTCTATATCTCAGCTATTATATAGTAGCGGCATTCTTACCAAATTCAATTCGTTATGAATAACCAACAATATGATCAATCTAAATATGTGGGTTTGAAACCATGAGGAACGATATTATGTAGTCAGTTTTCCTGTTAAAAAATTCCTAATTTGGTTTCATAAAAAATTTACCCCTGTTCATTTTGATAAAAGAGCACGGCACTGTCCAAAATGATTTCCGTCTCAGGAAAATGGATCATATTGATGCTTATTCATACCGGTCTGAATTTGGTGAGAATTCCCATACTAATATATACCTGAGATATAGAGGGGGGAAGCGTTTTAAATGTATAGCCTTTTTCTTATTTATCAGTAAGATAGTTTCCATGATATCTGTACTAAACATACAAAAATCACCCTATATGTTGGTTTGAAAATAAAATGAAAACAAATGGGCTTCAACTAACAAGACTACAGCCATCCGGTACTATTCTTTGAAAAAAATAATAGACAATGATTCATAAATAAATATTGTACTGGGTTGTCCAGGTTAACCGTCATTAATTTCGAGTGCGATATATCTACAAATAATGCACTTGACTTTCGTCAGAAATTGTTTCTCAAGAGAGTTACAGGGTCTCGAATCTTTAGGCAAAAACTGGTTTTGTCATCATAACTTTTAAACCATTCGACCGATTTCTATCACTTTATATTTCTCATTATGTATTAGGTTGATTGGCAAGTCAAGACGCACTCGAGTTTTTCAATTTGACAATGATTTTAGGCTTGACTTTAGACGTGTGTTTGCGACACTCCAAATTCGAATAAGTATCTCAAAAACGAACCCATAAATAACAAAATTCTCAGTTTCTACGTCACTGGATAATCTCTCTGAATCATTTTATTCATTGATTTTATAGAGATGTTCTACCTTTGGTATGTGTGCGAAATTCAAAGAAAATCGGTCTAGTGGTTCAGAAGTTATGATGAGAAAACCAGTTTTGGCCCAAAACTTTGAGTCACCCTAGTTCCGTGAAGAAACATGTTTTTACCGAAGTTCTCCCGCATGAATGTCTTCTTTGTTTCTTGTTGTTCTATCACCTATCAAAATAATGATATAGAACCTGACCCAGCTAACAAGCTCATTTGTACGTCATTATCACGTCAGGCATGACGTCAGGATGACTTCCAAAATGACGTCATAATGACGTTTATATGACCTTCCAAGTCGAAGACGAATGACGTCATTTTCATGTCGTCAAAATGACGTCATCCTAATGGCGTCAAAATGACGACATCCTGATGGCGTCAAAATGACGTGATATTTACGATTATTCATATCACTGAAATCTTCTGCATGTTTCAGTTTATTTTGTGCTATTTCGAAATTTTCTGTAGGTAATAAAAACACTGTTGCATTAGGGTTGTATCAATATTATCAGAAAAGATGAGATTTTTTTTGTATAATTATAGTGATGTTCCTTTACCACATTAAATGCAAAATAATATTATAGGTAGGTACTATAAATACCCGTTTCATAAAATGTTATTTTTATTGGGAACTTATCCCATTCGGATGATGCACTCAAGAGATTTCTCAGAATCCTATGGTATTCCTTCAATGGCGTCCAATTCAGATTCTGCTTTTTCGGCATACACCACTTATCTAAAATAATGACCATGCTGCCATCCTCAAATTCTACTACTTGATATATGAATATGAATAAAAGTATGACCACCACACTACACCACATAGATAGCCGAATAACATGATAATGATGGCCTTCTATGTATTGTTATTTTGTTGTTATGGTCATCATGGCCGCAACGGCGAAGCGAAAGTGAACGGTTTGGCCACAGCCGTCTTCTGAAGACGGCTGTTGCTTGGCGCTGGCGGTCGACGTTCGCATGTCTGCGCAAGGTCCGTGCCGACCAATCAAATACAGTTCTCTACGCACTCTCCCGCTCTGATTTGAATTCGCATTCCGGAATAACGATGTTATAAGCTTTTTATGACATGACATTCGGTCTTATATTTTTAATAGCTATAGGGAGAATACTTTGCACAGAAGGTATATAATTAACAATTATCTTAGAGACCATCGAAAACACACATCTCGCACAGATTAGAGAAAAAAATACTATAAAGCATAATATATATTGAGTGACATAATGATATATGTTATATAACATAAATACTAACGTTTTCATACAACAGAGATGGCAAACTTCTTGATTCTGAATTCTCCTTGATGAAGATGACTAAATAAATGATGGTCATAATTAGTCATAAAAATGACCATCAGATGACGTCATATTGACGACATATCAAGGACGTCTATATAACGTCATATTAAGTACGTCAAAATGACGTCATTTTGAGGTCATATGACGTCAATGACCATAAATGACCATATATTGACGTACAAATGACGTCAGCTTGTTACCTGGGGAACCACCCTGTATGTTCAACTATCAAGTCATTTGAGACACCAACATATAGGCTGAAATCTGATGATTGCGAGGTTTGATGAACTAATAAAAAATAAGAAAATAATTTACTACCATCACTGATTGACTAGCTTTATTTAGCGGGCGTACAAACACAATTTATTTCATAACTGTAATTTTAATGTATAATTCATAAAAGTTGAACACTGTAGTCCATATGAGATGATTTATCCAACTCAAAAGTTCTAGTGCACAGTGCATATATTTTTATTTGAATGAGTATGCAATAAACTAGCAACTCCAAAGGAGTTTATTCTAAAACTGTTTTCGTTCGTGTTCTATAGATATAATGCAATTCTCGTCGTGGCACATAGCTAGAAATAGAGCTGTATTTTGTTAGATGAACCAAGAAAAAATCAAATTTCCATCACATGAAGAATGCGAATTCTCATTGTATTTCTCTCTATATATATTTATATATATGTATATTCATTTCTCAGGTTCAGAATTTTATCTGAAAATATACCTTCACTATGTTGATTTTCAGATTAAACACCCTGTTAATCGTCACATCCTGTGAATGAAATAAATTGTTAATTGAAGAACTATTTTTTCTATTGATCATCGTTTACGTTTCGAAACCACTAGCTGAAGATATACTAGCAAAAACACCGAGCTTTATAGCAAACTTTATTCCAAGGGTATCCAGCAGGGCTATTATTCCTCGTTCGATTCCAACATCTTCTTTAAAGCCTATCAGCACCAGCAAGATAGATATTCGTTTCCGACCGTTGATCTAGCCCCTTATTTTTCACGTCTCTCCATCTCCTTCTTTCCGAATGAAATTGTTTATTTGCGGCTGGCATAGAATTCATTCAATCTCTCCGAATAATCTTAGACAGGTACAGAATTGATTTATTATTTGTTAGATGATCAGAAGTTGTGGAGCATGTTTTCTTTGCGGAAAATTACCATGTCAGATTGTCAATTTTTATACTCATCAGAGCATTGAAAAACAGAAATGCAATTGCAGGTGCAATGCATTCAAGGTTTCCAGCTGGTATCAAAATTTTGTAGAGGGGAAGGAGAACATGGTGGAGTAGTGGTTCTTGTGAAGGATGAACTGAAAGCAGAGTAGGTATTGACAAATCAACCAATTTGTCAAGAGCTAGTGACATTGAGTGTGCTGGTATCGAATGTAGGTTTGAAAAAAGCAAAGTCATTGTCATCTGTACATACAGGTCTCCAGATGGTAATTTGAATGTATTTTTTTTTTACTACTAGACGGCCATGGTAGTCATAAGGGCCATCGTTCACATGGAATAGCTCCATATCACGGTGAAAAGGACGCGGGACGAATTATTAAGGTTTCCCAGCTTATAATCCACGTAAAAATTTCGTACTTTGCCATATAAGTAGTGTAACAAGTGATCTCTCGTTCTATCGACTGGATTTTGGTGAGCTGACTTCACCTTACATCATACACAGTAGTTTTGAATGTTTCAATCATCCTATTCATAAAACCAAACAAAACCGACACCTGAACAAAAACCTTATCCAACAAAAAACCATTGGCGATAAGGTAGTCGATTCAATTAGTACGGTCGATATAGTCTCAAGATATATGAGATTACTTGTAACGTAATTATGTCAGTTACTCTGAGTGATATTACTTTATCAGATCTGTACAAACTTCTCATGATAGTCAATGATAAATGCGATAAAACTCAAGATAAGCTT